TTGTTTTTTTTTTTTTTTATTCCTTTTAAACTTGTTATTTTTTTTAACACAAAAATGATTTCTGAATTGCATTGTCTCGTGACCTCCATTTAATTGATGAAATTTTAACAATTGTATAAATTTAAAATCAAACTTTTTGCGATCCAAGAGTCTAGTTAGATTAAAACGCATTCGTGCTTACTTAACAGTGATATCTGCTATTCTTTTTAATTAAGAATAAGTACGAGTACTTTTAATAAGATCTATACATTGAGATATCTATATATTGTTATGTGTTTGCATTCTATATACTTTATATATGGCAAACGTGCACTTTAATCATAATCTGATTTTAACATGAATGTAGAAATTGTATTTATATATCAAAACAGCGTTACTAAAACTAAATTTGCTGAATATTCAGATATAAGAGATATCATATATTAATCTCTTATAATATATTTAATTTGGAATTGTTTTCCCTATCACTGTTTGTCTTACGAAACAGATATTAAACGTATAATGCGCTTAGCTATAAATCTAATTGCCGGCAGAATGAAAATTGAATAAAAAAAAACGGCATGACTTTGGAAGTAATCGAATATTTTATGATGCGATTAAATGAAGATAACACGAGAAAATAATTAATTTTGTGACGCTCGAGAAAGAAATCAAATCAATACGAGTGTAAAAAATAGAGACTGATTTCACGTCCATTTTTACGTCAGCTTTAATCCGAGAACTAGATCGTAATCCATCTTTTAATTATTACTTTACAACTATACAATTAATATAGATTCTGTGTAATATAGAAAATCATTTTGCAATACTATACTATGCTGCATAATATAGTTGATATACTAAATACCAATGAAAAATATGTTGACTATATTGATCTGTGCGTCTAAAGTTTTAATCATTTTTAAAAAATCTAGTTTATGCAACATATGTCTTGAAATCTTGTTTCCCAAGACCATTAAAATGAATTGATCTTACAAAGAAAAAAAAACGTATATAAATAAAAAAAAAGTGTGATTTATTTGCAGATTATATGAAATAAGGCAATTATATGTGGAAAATATATATCATAAGTGTAACCATGTATATCCATCATTGTTCCATCATTGTTCAAATTTGACTTCGTCTTGACCTCAGATGTCAAAACTCAATAACACATTATACGTGACATTAGAAATCGCATCACAATAGACTTGCGAACTGAGATTTATAATACTTATAAACATCGTATAATTTCTTAAATTTCTTACGCCTATTAAACTTGTCTCGAATTTTTGGTAATTACTACAACACTTCTTGAATTCACGTGCATATATTGGTATCTCTATATGTAACATTAAGAACATTAGGTTATTCTAGATTTAAGAGATGTGCAGCTGTAATCTTCTCGTACAGTACAATATGAAGCAGTACTACAATAAACAGATAGTCATTACAACATCGTGATAACTGATTATACGTATCTGCAGTAACTAATGCGAACGTTGTAACTCGAGTCTGTTGTAAGAAAATTCGACCACTTGAGTGTTTATTGAAAATAATTATCTTTTTAGCATTATGTTAATCAAAAGGAAAAAAAAGTACAAAAGCAAAATGACATAAAAATATAAGTTTTATGTTTAAGTCACGTTTCTAGAAGAATGATAATTGTCATTCTTCATTATTACTTACCGCATCATATCTTGTGCAATGCAACGCAAATTGGATTGTAAAATAATTAATATGTATTAATTCAAGATAGGTGATATTACTTTTATATATATACTATTTTAACTTATAATGTATTTCACTTCCAGTAAATTTTTTGCATTTGTGGTTTTTTTGTGCCTATACTCCTTATTTTTTTTCTGTAGCATTTAACACGTATACGTGTAAAACGAGAAATATAGAGATATATGTATTAAAACGTAGATAAAAAGTTTTTGTTATTTTTTCCCCACATCGTAATAGAAACTATTCGTGTACATACATTATTTTAAGTAAACATAAAATCAACATGCTAAATAATAAATAGATCATTATTATGAGAAATGCATCACCTTATATTTGGCAGCATCAGTTACAATGTTTTATTCTTAAAAGTAACTTCAGTATAATTAATACTTATTTTATAATAAAAAAAGGCGATGCCAATTTATTATATAATATTGGCATCCGTTTTATGTAGTAATCGATTTTACGTAAAGTATCTAAATTCTAAACCATAATATAAGAATATGTATATATGCGTCTGTATCAGAATACTGAAATAATACGTTCTGTAAGATGAATCGGAAGTACAGCATTATTATCTACATAGTTAGTGCACAGATAAGTAACAAATTATGTTGATATGTATAGCATTAATAAATCTTGTATCATTGCGCGCATTTTTTGCAATTATAAAAATTATTACGAATCAGAGAATGGCATTGATATATAATTATCGTAATTTTAAAGAATTATGCAAAACAAAATAAAATTATCCATGTGGATAAAAGGAAATTATCATACCGAAAAAATTAGTTATAGATAAATCGTCTTTGATATATGACATATTTATTATCTTATATTTATGTTATCTTTCTATCAGTTTATTTATAGATGATAGGGAACTATTTGAATGCAATACTTGATATCTGTATTTGATATCTGTTTTATCTTATTTGAGAACTTCGTATATTACAAAATACGAAAAACGTATTTATAAATAGAAATATATATATATATATA